TGGTTCCGGTTGCTCGCAGAACCCTTCATGGGGAGCGGTTTCTCAATTGAGAGCCGTCCCTTTATTTCTTTTAGGATAAACTGGTTATCCTTGTTAAACACATACTTTGGGGAGTATGGTTTGAATTCCTTTTTCTTCTTGGCCGGCTGTTTAGAGGAATCAGCCGCCCAGACCCCTTTTCTTTTTTCATCTTTGTTGGACGACTGTTTCTGTCGTCCTTCTCTATTGTCGAACCTCTTCCCGTCCGACTGTTTCATTGTACACAGATCAGTCGCCTGTATATAGGCTTCTGCTTCAATCAAGGCCTCTTGAAGAGTCGCCACCCTTTTTCGAACTAAATCAAATTTGAAGGTAGACCCGTCTTTGAGACCTCTAAAAAAGTCAGTATAAGCTACCTCATCCGGTAACCCTTGAATCTGTATTCTCATCAGGTTGAACCGCCTGATGTAGGAACGAAGCCCCTCCTTTTCACCCTGCTGAATTGTTCCCAAATCAAGGGTCGTTTTCTTCGCAGGGATGTTCATTGCAAAGTTGGAGGCAAATAAGTAAGCAAGCGTCCTGAAACTGTTTACACAACCAGTCGGCAGGTTGCCGAACCATTGCTGTGCAATTCCCTTGAGAGTTGCTGGGAAACACTTGCACCAAGTGGGATCATCCAACCTTGAAGGTACATCAGGTTGGTGAATGCCATCAGATGGTCTTCCGGGTTAGTAGTGCCATCATAGGCGCCTACTAAAACATTTTTTACTTTGGCCGGCTGAGCGGCTTCAGTAATTTCCTTGGAGAAGGCCGACGGCTGTTCACCAAGTCTAAGCAGCCGTAGCTGCCAGTCCATAGGTTGGACGTTTTTTTGCTGCAGGTCCACCAAATGGAGGTGGCTGCATAAAATATTGTTGTTGCGGCACAAATGGCAAATTTGGTACCGCCTGCGCACTATGAAAGCCAGACTGACGGGAGGTGCCGCCTGACTGACTCTCATGGTACGACTGAGTTGGCCTCATCGAGGCATTTCGCAAACTGTCCTGAAAATTTGAAGTAGAAGCCGACTCTGATAATCGGTCACTCTTCTTCTGCTCTAGCAGGTGCCGAGCATCTGTGAACGTTTGCTTTGACCCGTCCGCCTGAATATGACGAACCGGTTTCCTATTTCCCGTAGGATAACGGAGTTTTGTGAAATCAAGAGCAGACGGCTCCCGCTTCTTAGATTTAGGATGGGGAGTCGCCTCTCGCCCTTGAACTGGCTTCCTCTTCAGTGAAGTGGAAGGTTTTTTGGCCGCCTGCTCTTTGACTGAAGCAGGCGGTTTTTTGTTGATCAACTCTTGGATCTCTCCCTTGAATCCCCTCATGAAGGTCATGAGTTCGTTCCTTGTGATGGGAGCAGACCCATCAGTCGGCTGTTGCCGAGCAAGCGGTGCGCCTGCTGGCTCGCTTCCTGTTTGAAGATACTCCCGTTCCCTTATTTCAGTATGACGGGTACGGCGGGCCCTTAGGGTCCCGTCTGGAGCTGTATGAGTTTCAACTTCAAATTCACTTTCGGTATCATGGTCCGACTGAACTTGAGGGTCGTCTAGGGGACGCCTCTCTTCTGGGGTCGGTACAGACTTGGATGCCATCTCTGAAGTACTCTCCCCACAGACGGCGCCAAATGTTTTGGGGTTTTCTGATGTCCTGCGGGAGAGTTACAATTCCGAGACTGGAACCGGACGCCTGTACCTGCAAAATAACGGAGACTCCTGAGAGCTCCGCCTCCAACGGTCAAGTTAGTACCTGATTAAGGAGTAATTAATACAGAAATTAAAGTAATAAGGTCTCTCTAGGTGAGAGTATTTAATGTAGGTAATCTGCTTTGCTAGCGAGATCAGCCGGTTATTAGTGTGTTCCGTAATGTTTCTCCTCGTTCCGTTAATTATTCGGTCCCTTGATTAATGAGGATTAATCGAGTATTTATAGCCTTGGGAAGCGTGCAACTCTCTAGGTTTAAGGTAAACCTAGGGCCGATCGGGCTTCTAGACTGAAATGGGCCTTGATGGCCGGTTGTCCCATTTGGCATGGGTGGACACGTGGCGTGTCTTAAGTGGTCCGTGGAGGACGCGTGGCGGAACCTGGTTGGTCCACTTGTCAAACGGCG